GGCCGGCTTCACCGAGAGAACCATCCATTTAAAATGTCTCCCTTAAATCTCCAACACCACCGGCAACCACCACCATCACCGCCGCCGCCATCTCCGACCTCTCCACCTCCGCCACCGACTTTCAGTAGTCGCCTCCAACCTCCACCCGACCTCCTCCACCTCTTCCTCCCGTGACCGAGCCGGGAGGAGGCCTCCCCCGTGGCTGCCACCGGTTTCTTTCCACCCCTCACTTTTATATCCACCTAAATCCATCCATTTTAAATGACGGATATTTTCTCCGAGCGACTGTATGGATTTTCATACTTTCCTCTCGCGCGTAAGGAGAAGCGCGCCATACATACCCAGGCTCCGTTTAATATTTTCACCGGTGGAAGGAGGGAAAGAACGGTTCCCTGCCCCTCGAACGCCCTCTCTAACCGAGGCAACAACCTCTAGTTTACGATTCACAAGACCACTGTCGACGTACATATTCCTAGAGTCTTATTTTTAGGACAGATTTTCTCTGGACCGGAATATCGCGGGATTATTTATTCCGAAGGAAACAGAGAGGTCGGAGAAGAATCGGAAAGGTCTCGGTCGCGAACAATGTGTGGCACCGACAAAAAAAAACACACACACACACACATATACCCGCACAATGGGAACGGTGAAAAACGCACGAGAGATAGAGACCATGAGATTATATTAAAGAGGTCGCTGGGGGTCCAACAACTGGAGTATGTAAAGCAGGTATTATTCTCTTCCCGTCTGTCATATTCGATCTTTCTTGGAACTCCAACGGGGTTAGGCTTCTTCTGATCCGGAAGAAAGCGTCGAAGAATCGTACGTTCGATTATATCCAGGATCGACGATGATCGAGGATGTTCGCGCGCTAATCGCCCAGGCGAGGGTTCATCGTGCCGGTGGTGATTCTATCGGGCAGCTACGGCTTTCGAGCTGAGAGATAAGGAAAGGAGAGAAAGAGATAGAATGGTCGCGGTGGCTGGGATAGGGAAAGGTCAGCGTGTAACCCGCAATAATTACAAGTCCGGTACATTATGCACGGTCCGCCGAATGCGGAAGGAACGTCAAGTCTAACGCCGTGGCGTCGGGTGCTCCGTAAGCCGGAGTTATACGAAAGGGGGTGGGCGGGGGGAGGCGACGACGACCGTCCGCCTGCCCGCCTTCTTCCATTAATCTCGCGGCAATCGAAATTAGCATAATTGACGGAGCGGCGAATAGCGGCCTGTTCGACTCTGAAACGCCATCTCGTATAATCTCTCCATATATCTCACTCAGTGTTTTCCGATAAAGCACGCATACCGCCGATAGACGGAGGACCGTCGACCCCCTCGGACCATTTCAAAAAGTACGCGTCGCGAGACGAATGTCAGTTACTTTTACGTTTACGAGAAGGAAATCTGGATGTAATTGCGCGAAACTCGTTGGAATTCCAAACATTTAAAAGATAAGTACACGATGAACCGATTCTGCGACAATATTTATCAATTAATGAATATTAATGAAATATTTTCCGTTTAAAAAGTAAAAAATAAATTATGTATACCAACATTTTGATAGAACAGAGTGTAAATCTTTTATTTTTCACTACTGGAATCGCTTATAGAACTGATTATTATTAGGTAATCCGACAGTAAAGTTCTATATTATAGAGTATATCGAGAACTTTTCTTTATGAAAATAAATTATGTGTTTTATCCGACTATTTAGCATTAATCGAAGCACTGTGTCCGATGATTCAAATTCGGCAACTTTCTCCTATCACTGTTCTGCCCCGCGATACAAGACAAATATCCCTCGTTCCACGCGCGTCTTCTCCGAGGAAGACGTATCGACGCGAATTTTTTTTCCGCGTCGGTCATTTATCAAAGCCCTTCTTCGTTCTCGTCGCCGCCGCGCCTCCTTCATTGGAGATACACACGGACCGAACGTGTAGTCAAAGGGACGGGTTACGGAGGGAAAAACTAAGAGCCGTTCCCTCAAGAGGACCAGGGACGATTCGACGAAACCCAGCGCCCTGTTACCCACATCTCCCAATAGAAACCTCGGAAAATGTCTTCCCTCGATACAAGCTTCTCGTGACGCCTTCATTCCACAATTCGTTCAACCCCGTTGCCTCCCTCGATCCATCTACGAGTCTACCTCTAAAGAAACGTTTTTGCCCCACGTCTGACGTCGAGTCATCGTTGAAATTCAGAAAACGTAGTTAAGCCTCGCGAGTCAAAAGCCGCGCGATACATCGAGTGGATATAGGTAAATACGTACATACGAGGTCTTCAAGTGGTCACATTAATATGGCTAGGAACTGTATATCGAAAAATTAAAAAGATATTTTTAAAAATATCTTAAATAGTCTTAAGGTGACTGTTGGTTCTTGATTTTATGAACCGTATGAACTCGATCGACAGTCAAGAAAATCGTCGAACTGAAGCCAATTAATAAAACCGCTCGCAGCCTGAGCGCAAAATAGAGCGCTGCTGAAGGTGTGTGTGCGGTACCACGAGAGAGGCGATAAGAGAGGGGGATCTCGTTCGATCTGTTTGATTAAGAAACCGTTTGGTACCCCGTGCATATCATCGAGCTATCCAGAAGGGAGGGGGAGGGTTAAAACGTGTGTCCACGCATACGCAAATACGTGGCGACCGAAAGATAAGGCTCTCAACGGACCCCCACGGCCTACTACAGTCAGACGCCTCCTCCGTCATCGTGGACGTCTCTCGACCGATTAGGAAAGAAGAAGAAAAAAATAGAAAATAAATAATGTCGCGCTCCAGTTTAATTTATTAATCACGGTCCACGGCGGGAAAGAGCGTGCGCGGAATATAAAAATAACGAGGTGTGCACAGATGCCGCGGCAAATACGCCATCGACGCGGAAAAAAAAATATGTAATACACAGATATACAGAGCGGGATAACGAGGCCGGCTTTCAATCGAGCGGAAAACACAATGTTTGCTGGCCCCGCGACGCAAGGCCTGACGTTTCAATTTCCTAATGATAACCCTTAACGACGACCAACCACGGAGGAGCGGCCATACATTGACGTACAGGTATGTAAATATTTGTCGGTTACCCCACGAATACGAGAAGTTCCTGTCGAGACGACTTCGAAGTCGATTGTAAGAAATTAATGGGGAGGTTGAACAATGAGATATTTCTACGGTTTGAAATCAAGTCTTTCGGATCATAAACTTTAGGGACTGATCGTAGGCGTTTAGGAGACTCCGGGCGAATGTAACAATTGTTAAAAATGTCTCTTCTTCCTTTTCCTTAAGTCTTAACTATCTTTATGTTCTCTTCCATATTTTTTTACTAATACCCTACACATGCACCTCTATACTCTGTACTGTAAAGTAGATTTTTAAGACAATATTTCGTATATATTTCGTACTCATGTAACAAAAGGGACTTCCCGTAAAAATAAATTTACATTATTTCGAGGTTTTAGGTTTGATTATGTTGTCCAATGATCAAGGTTTTTCATATTGTATGGGTCTGCTGAAAATTAAAAAAAATGTACGTACTACAGACTCAACAAGACAAATTGTTACATTTATCCCAGGTCTCCCTTATTTCTCGTACGAATGCCACGGTAGAGTCAGAAGATCGAAGCATACATAGACGGTTAGATCGTTTCGTGAACGTTCGTTAGAAACCATAGGAGCTCCTAGGAGGGGGCGGAAAACAAACTGACCACGACGACTTTTCCCCCTTTCTCGTCTTCGAACCAAGCAACTCGTTCCCCGTTAAAACGCTCCCGGACCTAACCTACCGAGATTCGAGCGTTTAAACGCGCGCGTTCAGGCGTCTGGTGTACCCTCTGCTCGATCTTGCGATAACTACGGTGACGTCAAACTTGCGTATCTCATTCTGGAATTCACAGCCTGCCCTGCTCTGGAGTTCCCTTCCAATCATTCCCCGTACGCAATCACATAATGCGTCATCAATGTGTACATCTCGTTTCCGATTTCGGAGCTACTACAATTATGGAATTTCCCTCCCCGTTTCCCACGTATGTATCAGCGGGGGAGACCGTGGCGCCCAATTTTGCAGAAATCAAAATCACCGATCTTTTTATAAACGTGACGAAGTTACGAAGAATGATAAGGATGATAGTCTTGTCGAATTCCGAATTGAATGAAAATCGGGAATCTAAAAGATACGTTGATCAAGATTCAATGAATTTAATTTCGGCTACTATCGGTTTACATATGTTTCCATCGATGAAACGGTTGTTAAATTTACTCCGAGAACGCTAACCAAAAGACCCAAAATATAAAATTTGAATTTCAGTGCACCAGTAGACAGACCATACTATCTACTATGGTCATTTTCTGACAGAAAAACGGTCGTTGGATGCTGAACGTTTTATAGCCCAGTCGTAAAGAACCCGTAACACAAAAATCAGAATTCGAACGGGCTTTCCACCGAACTTTTCGTCGAGACTAAACGCCCAAAATCGATCCCCCCTACACATCGAAAAGGTCGTTGAACTTCCAAACGTTATCATCGCATCGGGGTGAACGTAGAATGTTGTATGGTCAAGAATTTCGATGTGACGTATGCAGAGATAGGAAACAGGCGGGAGAGGCCCGTGTCGATCTCGTGGAAAGAAAAGGGGGGACACGACAGTAGCGTGCCGCAGAAGCAGGGGAAGGAAGGCAAGAAGAAAACAAAAATTATACGGGAAAATAGAGTGGGGGGAACTGTCTGAGAGCCGGCAAGTTGTTTATACGAGTCACCGAATATAAATACGAAACTCGGGGCTAAAAGTCATCAATAGAAAAGCCGCCGTTATTTGAATCAGACGCGGGTGGTAGTCTCAACGTCGGTCCTGTGTCGTCCTCGTTCTACGTCACGGATTTACGTTTCATACGCGTAGAAACAATAGAAAGTGTCGAACAGGACAACAAATTACCATCCAGTGATCTCTATCGAGGCCCGAAGTTGAAGTTTTCATTTAATTTTCAACTAGAGGACAGAAAAGAAAGGATTTCAAAATGTACATGGCCGAGGAGTACGCGAACGCGAGCAGATTTCAGTATCGGGACGCGCTCGAGGTAATCGAAGAATTCGGTAACGAGCTGTCCGAGATGAACGGCAAGTGCATAGACATCGGTTGCGGGCCAGGAAGCGTCACAAAAAATCTACTCCTGCCGAGATTAGCCCCGGGCGCTGAAGTAGTCGGTAAGGGAATCGGTAAAATTCTCTCTACCTCGAACTTGTTAATCGACCACGGAGATTTTCAGGAGTGGACGTGTCGGTGGAGATGGTGGAATACGCAAGGAAAAAGTGTTGCGACGAGAAACGGTTGTCGTTCATGTGCCTGGACGCCGAGACCGAGGATTTACCGTGCAAACTGATCGGTCAGTTCGACAACGTGTTCTCCTTCTTCTGCCTCCACTGGTGTCAGAACCCATGGTATTATTTTTGTTTCCTTTAATTACAATTAAAAGAAATCTCGTATCGCCGTAATTACTTGAATCTCTTTTGAAATTATTCAGTGTTTTTTTTTTTTTTTTATTGAATTCAGGCGAACATTCGAGAACATTTGGAAGATTCTACAACCAGGAGGCACCGCTCTAACCATGTTTCTGGCCGACAACACCGGTTACGACGGTTACATAAATCTGTACGAGAACCCACAGTACCGACCGTACATGCAGGTTAAAAATTTTCCAGTTCGATTATCGATTAACAATTTAGATCAAAACCATTCACTCACCTGATCCGTTCTATGTACATCCAGGACGTGGACCTTCAAGTTCCCTACTACCACAAATGCAAGGACCAACGATCCACTTTGAGGAAGGTGCTAGAGGACACAGGTTTCGAGATTCTGCACTGCAGCAAACGGGAGAGAAGCTACGTTTACCAGAACCTGCAGTCACTGAAAAGTAAGGACTGACGATGTTATACATTAAAATACCAAACATATTATATTAGTATTAAAGAAAAATAAAGGGTCACTGTTGAATCGATTCTCCTTACAGATCACACGATCGCGGTTAATCCCTTCATCAGCCGCGTACCCGAGAACCTTCGTGAAAAGTTCAAGGAGGAACTGATACAAGAGATCGTGAAACAAAAGATACAGTTCAGGGAGTACCACGACAACGAGCAACAAGAGTACAAAATCATGGACATATACCATATTCTCGTAGCGTACATCAGGAAACCAGTCGAGACGTTCTGAGCAAAACTATTAAAGATCCGAAGCGTTCAATAGGGCCAACAAGTTTGTTTCTGTACACTATTGTTGTAGATTCAATTGTTAATAAACAAAAAATGAAAACACATTCTATTCTACTATATTCCATTTTTATGGGTTCTTATTTAAAAAGTGGTTATTTGGGACTGTTCTCGCTACTACAGCCCTAACACAGGTGTCGAACCAATCAGTGTACCCAGCGCACCCATCGTTTCTACAACACTAAACTTTATTATACACTATATATCTTTGATTTTACAATACGGTACAGCCATTTATAGAATATCATTTAAAACTCATATCATCGTAAGGGGAGGGGCGGGGGTAATAAGTGGATCTGTTTTGCGGTGCTTACGTGGTAACCATACACAGGGAGTAACAATTTCACTAACGTTTCTGTTTTGTTTTCTTTCCTAAAAAATACACCGAAGTTTATAAATCCGGCTTTCGAAGAACCAGTCGACATCGATCGGTTTCGGCAACGCTGACGCCTTCATCCGAGCAACTTTTACCAGCAAGGCACGAGAAAAACGCGTCACGTGGAAGATATTCTCGTTTCTCAAGCAGACGCTTTCGAATAATCACGAATCCCCGTACCGTGAATCACACATTTTTCTCGTCCCTCGGAAAATCTCGCCAGTCGAAACATCTCTCGCGATCCAGAGTGCGGTGCCGAAACCCTAAAAAATGGAAGCAACTCGAGATTCTACCCGCGGCTTACCGCGAACTTTCTATTTCCAAAATTTTTCAAACTACCCACGGATCTCGGGGGATATCGTAGGAATTTCCCAGGTCTCGCAGCGGCTACGGACACGCATCGTCTCCTCTAAGAGATATAATATATACATACACATTTAACACACAGAGCTACACACGGTCAAGCGAAACAATTGTAAATGCGTCGAAATCGAAAAATATCCCCGAGACAGTTATTACGTAAAACAGTCCAAACGGGGGAACGTATATGTATATCGAAAAAGTCGCCATCGATCGTATAGGAAGGCGGGTGTATACATGTGTGTGTGTGTGTGTGTGTGCATGTGTGTCTGTGTAAAAAACAGCTCAAAAAATTCTTATCGTTACGGAAGTTCCGAGCCAATCCGCCAGAAACAGTGATACGAGTATTCTGAACCTGTGCGAACGACACGAAGAAGAAGCTGAAAAAACTGAGGACCAGCTGAAATTGTGCGCGGCCTGGCAGAAAAGTCGTATTAATCCCGAGGACACATCGAACGTGCAAAACTTTAACGGTAAACGGCGGAAGAAAGCGTGTTACGATGATTCGATTTTTCCGAACATCGATTCCCTCGGGTAACACGTCACAAAAATATGGGACCAGAGTTCATGACTGATGAAACAATAACTCATTATTCTGTTACGATAAAATAAAAGTGACGGAATCAGTAGATATACAAATAAGTTCCCATCAATTTTAACGCGTTACCTTCGACAGCTCCTTGTAGAATAATGTTTTCCTCTTTTTTTAATTATCAGACCTGGTCCCATACTTTTGGCCATTAGTGTATGTTTTATAAATGGCAGTGAATGTGTCACCCAAGAAAATCGATCTTCTGAGGAATCAAATTGGAATCGAGTATCACCAGTTACAAATTGAGAAAGGTCGTGGATTGAATCGTGGCTCGCGATTTCATCGAACAATATAGATTGCGGGTCTCGAAGACTTCCGGTCTACGTGAAACGACAAAGTGTTCCACGGTTACGCAAGATTTGCATCTAACATTTTGATTTTCAATTATCATATTGTATCCCGGTCCCCTCCATTTAATATACAATTCCGTTAATAATATACTCGGAACTATGACATACCGCGGAATGGACGCGCACAAATGAACGGCTTAAAATATGTATCGGGCGTAAAATCGCTAGGATAATTATAACGAACAGATCTCCCGTTCGGCCGGTTGATCTAATGTGGAAGCAACTCGTAAATTACGGGTAATAGGTACGCAGACGGTTTTCCACGGGCAATTAACAAGTAACCCGTAACCGAGTAACCCGTCGAGCGAGTAAGAAAGAAAGAAAGAGAAAGAGGCGGTCGCGGGGCGGCTCGTGTGCCACGACGAAAGGACGAAAACCCTTAATTTTCTACGGTGCACATACGTCGCGTGACGACGACCGTAGGAATCGACCGTGGGGCGATGGGAGTATTCGTCGAGGGTGAAAAGCAAACCTTCGACCGACGTTAAGGTACGTGTCGTTCTAATTTGCAGAAGAGAAACACAACATGACGCGTGCGCGCGCGAACGTTCGCCTCGCGGGACACAAACGGATCAAGCGTTATTAATCGTCCGTAAATATTCCGCGCGTGGATCGATCGAACCGTTGCTGTTTCTTACGCGATACGAAGGGAACAATAAATTTAGCTCTACCGCCGACTGAAGGAGAAAAAAGAAACGGCAGAGAAAATATACTGTATCGGGCAGAAAGGACCGCGATAAATTTCAATGGAAACCGCGAGCCTCGACTGCCGACGACAAGCCGTTCAATCGAAAGAAAGGCAAGTGCTTTCGATACTCGAGAAACACAAGAAACTTCTTCCGCTATTAAATCCCGTTTACATGTTCAAATAATTTAAGCAAACTGACTTGTGCATTCACAGTTGCGCAAACTAACTTGTGCGTTCGTATTTTTTTCTTTTTAAACGGAAGCTTACATGTTCAAATAATTTGCGCAAACTGACTTGAGCAAATCATTGCGTTTAAATAGGAACTAACGCCCCTGGCAAATAATTACCGTTACTTTTCTTATTATTTAAATTTATAATAAGTAATTACAATTATAGTTTATTCTTTATACGTATATAAAATAACTGTGCAAGGTAGACTGAACGTGTTCCGCGCGAATTACTGGAACGTGTAAACGGGCCTCAAACACGCTGCATTTCAAAACTATAAAGACGTCTGAAGATCCTAGTCTTATGTTTTGACTGTTAAATAATAACGAAACTTTCGTGTACACAAATGTATACGAGTACTACTTCTCAATGCGTTGTAATATCCGATATACCTGATTAAATTCAACCTTAAGTGACAAAGTACAGGAATAAAAAATTTCAAGATGGTTTTACAATTATGAGATGTACTGTAGAATACAACGACACAATGCATTTACGCAAAATTTCCATGGACCAGTCGATTTCCGCAAATTATTCGAACATGTAAAGGGGCCTTTATTCTTACACGATTCAGCGACTCGATGAGGACACTCTCGATCGAGAGGAATACAATCCATCCTCAAGTGAGCTAAATCTACCAAAGCCTTCCGGGTCTTCCGCCCTATAGTATACGACCGCGAAGTGCCCAACCCTGGATCGATCGAAACCGCGAAAAAGTTCCCGCGGACTTATTGAGCGAAAAATGAATAAACATCCAGTCCCGTGCGTGGAAAAACCCGCGTGAGAGCTTCCAGTCTAGAGCAGGAACGGAATTACACCAAAGGAACACAGCGTTACGTAAAAACGGCGAGCGTTATTCGGATTATCGTATACAAAGAAACGAGTCGACATAAAGTTCGATAAAAATTGGAAATCACATTGAAACATCGATCGAGTATTTCGAAGCATCGAAGAATTGACAGCTGACGGCCTGAAAAATGAGCGGCTATCGGACGATCTATAATACCATCCGAATCGAACAAGAAACGGCTACCCCCGAAACGATCCTGCACAGAAGTCACGTTGGCGTTCGGTACAATTGAGTTCTCGTCGAACCGAAAATGTTCGCCTAAATGGGACCAGCTCGAGTATTTGCCGTTTTGTGTTTTCTAAAACGGACAGCAGAGATCGGCCTTACGGTACGGAAACGTTGAAACGACAGAAGAATCGAGTCAGGTACGAAGAAAGTCGTTGTCACGCGTGGAGCTGCTCGCCGCGCGGAAGGCTGAAGGATTTCACTGAAGTTCGCGGAGAGGAAGAACGCGTGAGATTCGAAGCGTGAGATCGCTTCGATGCGATCCGAGTTTACCGTCGACTATTTCGCGTGTGTTCAAGTGTTGTGTGGTCACAAAAATCTCCGGGAAGAGAACGAGTAAAAGTGTCCCTTCGAAAACACGCGCGTGGGTTGGAACAATCGTTTTGTTCGAAAGGGACGCGAGCGACGTTGGATCGCTACACGATCGTCGATAGGCCGTATCAAGACTGCGCGCAACTCATATATACATATACACGCGATAATATTACGTCCAGTAACACGTTCAGTTACAATCCTCGCGATTTCAGACACGCGCGAATCACATATGAGACGTACTATCGCCATATGACCACGGTGGCCAAACTTGCGGCTCGCATACTTTTCAACCCTTGCTGCAACTCCCATACAGTTATACAATATTTTTTTATAAACTTAACACATACTACATAGACGTATGTAAGATGATATTTCTGTAAGTTTTGCTGTCTTTATAATGCAGTGTGCGATATATACACAGATTGTAAGCGTAACTCACAATTTAATACCGTTTCAATAGTGGATGCGGCTCTCGAGTATTTCTGATAGACGATACATGGCTCCTATCCTGATAAGGTTTGGCCACCACCGCCGTATGGATTCGCCGTCGATGGGTGTGTGTATTCGCTCGTTACGGAAACGTACGACGATTTTTGGCAAGCTTCGAGCGCAACAACACACAGCCCCCACACCGATGTTCCCACCTGAACCAGTCTTGTGCCGCGGGACAACGCGTAGGAAACATCTTTAACCGTTTGCACACGGAATTTCTAAATTCTTCGTAGATTTTGTCCCTTCGAAGGGGACAATGGAGTGTAAAGGGTTAACACGTTAACTGCCACACACCATTTTCAGGAAACAGATCACTGCATAATATCAATGTTAGATAGCAGCTATTATTGGCAAGAGAAACATAGAGTTAAAATTGAATTTCAATAACGTGCGTACGGTATCGTCTTGTCAGGATTACAATTACAGTTGCTTGTGCTTCAGGTAGTTTCTGGTCCAAATGGGAACAGAGCGGTACGAACGGCGAAAGATCCGCCAATGATCTCGCCGTAAATCACACGCGGTCCTTCGCAATACAGATCACACGACAAAACTAGTCTCTCGTAATTTAATCCTATGAATAACAACTATACGCTAGTACTGCCACCTTTTTTTTTATCGCTATTCTACCATTAACAACATCAACAGCAACAACACATAATATATCAACATGAATATATATATATATATATATATATATATAGATATATAATATATATCTGTCCCCTCGTAACCTAGTCCTTCAGCTTACACGGTAGGTACACGTGGTGTAATATACATAACACGGCTGCCCGGATAGGTACACGAGCACCGCGATATGTAGATCACCAGGAATATAGGAAGAGGACGAAGTTCAGACGATCCTTCGTCCTGAGCGAGAACACACGCTGTGTATCCGTTACGGTACGCACGCGTGGAGAAAGAATATATCAATAAGAAGAAAAAACAATACAGAAATACATACGAGGTTGCGGACGTGGCGCAAAATATTTGTCCGGTTATTGTAATCGTTTTCTCGATCGTTCCCGAGACGGAAATCACACACACTGCCGCCATAAAGTGGGGATCGATAATTCTCATAGATCTTTTATATACCTAAGTACGAAAGGTCGAAGACCGGCTCAAGGTGTCCCGACATCGTAATACAATTATTTTTCTCTCTCTCTCTTTCCCCACTCGAACGAAACAGAGTACACGCAGCCTGGTTAATTAAAGAACAGCCCTCACTCTCTCACATTCACAGTCCAATTATAATCCTAAAACATTATCGCTGTGGAAGCGTTTGGAAGCATTATCGCGCCTCGCCCCTGCGTCTTCGCGACACCGAACGTCCCGGCCGACCACTTTTTGAACATCTCTTTGGAACAAATCAACAGGGTCATCTATGACGAATCTCGTGATCGCGTGAAGCAGTGAGCGACCGCGTGGTAGCGATTAAAACGATCAGAAAAATGACATCGACACATGTAATTTAATGCGTATACGGCGCATGGTACACTTATGTATATAAGTTATTATGTGTGTCTCAACTCAAAAAACAAAAATGATGAACGTTTCTTTTTTTTTCGAATGAAAATTATTCCCATCCGTTACGTCGAATCGAGCTACTGCATATATTCGACGCGAACAGGTTTTCCCTTCATTGCGGCAGAGCTATGTGTCGATAACAAGATATAACAAAAAATCACGTACGGTGTACACACGTGTATATAGAAACTATACTGATACTATTGATCTCGCTCTCGTCTGGAACGGACGCGCGAAGGTAGTCTCCAGCAGTCGCGGGGCTACTATCGCTAATTAAATATACCCCTACTTTTTAACACCTTACGGTTTAGTGCATTATTCCTCGTTTCGTCTATATAGATTATTACTGTTTCAGATCCCACGGACGAGTGTTTCTCTCGCATCAATCGAGTCCACTGCGATGCGCCCAAATTACAGTTCCTATGTCCGTCCTCGTTCGCAGGAGGTAATAAACGGTGGTGACTCGTAACGAACTAAAGCGGAGAAATGTTACAACACTGATCGCCTCGCAATTCGTTTCGATCGGAAGCAGGAAAGCTCGGAAAAGACTATGCTCGAACGGAGGATTAAGATTCGACTGTTTAACAATCATCCGTTCAACTTTAGAATCAACTTAATTTCTCTACGCAACTAGATAACAAGATGTATGCGACGCCTAGAATCCCTGACATTTACTCGCTGTAGTATATATTCGTTCGAATAATCTTGTGCTTATACATATATACATATATATGTACGCGTGTGTGCTGTCTGTCAATTGCGTAAGAATCGTTCGCTAATTTTGCTAGATCTCAAAAATCAATTTCGTGAAATCATCAAAAGTTCAACTATTTTCGTGTTTCCGTTCCGAATACAATTTATCTCTGAGCATACATTACACCGAGGACAAATTATACGGAAACAGAGAACTATTATTTTAAGGATTAACGGAAAAACCGACGACATACCGTTATTATTAAAAAAAACAGCCCGGATTAAATAATTAATTAAAGCGAAGACGCGGTGAAACTATCCAACAATAGACAATAGCTTATCAACGATTCGGGATTCGAGTTCAGTCTCCAAATTGAAGGGAATTAATTCACCCGTAATCCCTTTTGACGTAACGTAGACGACGACAATGTACAGGATCTTTCAAAACACATCGTCCAAAATGCAGAGCAACTTCATTTTTCGAATAAATTGGACCGTGAATTTCTTTAATTTTCTTTTCTGTATTCTCAAAGATAATTTTCTTTTTTTTTTTAATTAAAGATGTGTCGAAAAACTAGTATTCTAGATTTGAATTTTCGTTCAAATTTTTTTGAGACAGAAGTCACTTCTTTCGGGACGTACAACACATTCTGAAACGTCATGTACGATAGCAGAGGTCTCTTCGCGTTTACAATAATCAGGCTCTGCTTGTGCATACTTTACGTGTGAATGTGTGTGTGCACATATGGACGTATATTCCGTGTGCGTATATGTATACACATATATACATAATAATTAGTTCGTGCGGCAGGGATCGCCCGCATTATTTTGCAAAAAGCTCGCGATTTTCAGATATTTCCCCGATATCTCGGCGTATTCTTTTCTTTTTATTTATACGAAATAATAAATAACAAGATGGATCACACAAGAGAAGATTTACAACGCGCAAGTGTGTTAATCCTATCTTTTGTAACGACTAATAAGAATATATGTATATGTATATATATTAAGTTATATATATATAT